CCAATTAACTTTTACGGTAGATTCATACCCGGTTGTGCAAAACTGATGCAACTTTGACAGATTTACTTAAAGGAAAACGAAAAGAATACAGACTGTCTTCTGACGCCGTCGAAGCTATTAAACAACTAAAAGATAAACTGGCTCGAGCATCTACGTTGATGTACCCGAATTCTCTTTCCCCACTTGCTTTAATGGTGGAAACTTCAGATAAAAAAGTAGGTGGTACCCTTAATCAACTGGTTGAAAACGCCTGGAAACCAATCGCTTTCTTCACGAAAAGACTAGCTCCAGGAAGAAAGGTATATTACCTTCGAACGAGAGTTTCTGACAATCTACTGGACAATTAGGAATTTCCGACACATGTTAGAAGGCAGGGAATTTATAGTCTTTACAGATCACAAACCACTGACGAATGCATTAAAAGCGAGAGCTGATAAATACTCACCTCGAGAAGTTCGACATCTTGACTTTATGTCAGAGTTCACAAGTGATATCCGACATGTCAAAGGTCGGGACAATCAGGCTGCAAACGCTTTATCTAGATTAGAAATGAACGTGCTACAGCAGTCTACAGTAGAATTCGAGACGCTGAAACACGAACAAGAACAGGATCCAGAATTACAAAACCTGCTAAAAACAAACAATTCAAGTCTTAAATTAAAACAGTTACCGTTGCCTATCGGTGGTATTCTAATTTACTGAGACACGACCAAGGCATCGCTGTGACCTTTCGTTCCCAAAAGTATGCGAAAGTTGATATATGGTAACTTCCATGCTTTGTCTCATCCTGGTGCGAAAGCTTCAACTAAATTAATCAACGCCAGATATATATGGCCGAATTTACAGAAGGATGTACACAAATGGGTCAGAGAGTGTTCGGCATGCCAACAATCAAAGGTTATTCGTCACACAAATTCACCCACAGGTGTTTTCTCGCAACCAGATGCACGTTTTGCCCATGTGCATATCGACTTGGTAGGCCATTTACCAAGTTCGAACGGTTTTAATTATCTGTTTACATGCATAGATCGATTTACAAGATTCCCTATAGCCATCCTGAGAGCGGACATCACAGCGGAAACAGTAGCCAAGGTTTTCATGCAGAACTAGGTAACCATTTTTCGTATGCCCATAACAATAACGGATGGAGGAGTGCAATTTGAATCCGAACTATTCAATAACTTGGCTAAACTTCCAGGCTCCAATAGGATACTCTGTACTGCATATCATCCTCAGGATAATGGGATGGTAGGATGTTTTCGCCGTCAGCTAAAGACCGCTCTTATATCTCGCTCAAACATCAATCAGCGGACAGAATTCCTACCGTTAATTATGTTGGGAATACGAACATCTGTCAAAACTGACGCACGGTGTTCAGCAGCAGAAATGGTTTTCGGAACAACCCCGAGACTACCAGGTGAGTTTGTTGACCTTAATACTAACAGTCAAAAACTTAAGTTAGAAAATTACGTAGATCAACTACGGGACCACATGTCTAAACTTAAGCCAACTAATGCTCGTGAACAATCGCGAGCCATATATGTACCAAAGGATCTAAGCAATCGCACGCACGTCTGGATAAGATGTGACGAAATAAAAGCACTGCTTAGCCCTCCATTTGAAGGTCCTTTCAAAGTCGTCTCAAGAAGAGATAAATACTTCATGCTACAAAATAAGGTGACAAGCTGGCAAATGAAGAGGCATCCATAGACTATCGTCGATCACCGACGGATTCAGTCATCATCGGTTTGAAGTCATAGTTAGCAAGTTGATAATTCTCCCTCGCGACGAGTAAAAAGAACTAAAATGCTTTTGATAGAAAGAATATCGAGTGTTGAGAGGGTTTTGTTTGTCTGGACAAGGAACCTTATACTCCACTGTGACTGCGCGCAGACAAAAGTAAAGACCTATTCTCTACTAGTCTGGTTTTTTCTATTATTAAAACGAGGGCTACCAATAGGCACGAAAAATTCTCAGCCTCCCACAGAGCGTTGAATTTGTCGTACAGCACAATATACTGCCGAACTTGGTACACCTAGATTCAGTGTCTTGGTCGGAAATTGCTAGACACTCACCGTCGTAAGAATCCTATTTCTGAGTCGGATGCATCTATGGTGATACTAATTGATGCTCCAATATCTTGATGTAAGCTGCTTAACGTTGTCCTCCAATTCGATGGTTTTTGCGTTTCCAAGAAGTTGGTCTATATGTGCACTTGCTAGACTGTGGTCAGTTCTGGTTAATCCAGGAAGGCCGCCTCATTATTTTGCAGAGGGCGAATATCCTGAGTGTTAACAGTGTTCATGAGAAAGTCCGAGAAGATGGTTCTGACCTGACGTTTCCTGGTGTTTTCAGTAATGCCATGATTGTTGAGTCATTCGTAAACAGGGTCCAGATGCTGGAGATGAGATTTTGCTGTCCGGACCTGCGATCAAGCAATCATCAACATGATAGAATATATGACTAACAGAAGCAGCTTCAATCTTGACAACAATGCTTAGCATGATGTTCCCACATTTGCTAATTAGATAAACGTTGCTGGAAAATTAGAAACTAGCTCGCACCACACCAATTCTCAAAGGAGATCGACACAGCTGGCTTTCAAGCTACGGTCCAGTAGTACCTCTCTCAATGCCCTCAAAAATTATGGGGTTCGTGATATGCGATAGCCCACGTGATTACTTACTATCCATAAACTTCCTTTCGCCCCGACAGCGCAGCTTCAGAAAAGGTCACTATTGAGTAACCCGCACCCTGACCGCGATGAACAGATGGACAACCATTCTTGATCTTAAGGGGGACGTTGGAGTCATACACCTTGATTTCTCAGAAGCGTTTGATATGGCCAATCATATACGTCTTATTGATAAGCTCAAACAGTAGGTTATCAAATCACCATTAATTGGTCGGCTTACTGCATATCTAAATAATCGGCGTTTTAAGTTCAGGGTTAGCTTCATTTTTTCCAAGGCTATAGAAAGTGCTGGTGGAGTCTCGCAGGGTTTGCAATCTATATGAACGATCTATCACATTGGGAATCGTCAGATTTACAACTTCTCGTTGATGATGGGGAACTCAGGAGGGAAGTTTGCGAATAAGAGGATAGACCGGCTCTTCATGAGAATTTTATGCAAGTAGTTTTCTTTATGAATTTAAATAAAGCCAGAACATACATTGATGAAGAATGATATGATTTCTCATCATCTGCTTACCACTAAATATGCTAAAATTTACTTTAAGATATATTTCTCTAATCCCCTTCACTATGGATTTGTGATTTGACTTGTTTTGGGGATGACAGTACCTGAGGTTTTAGATAATACTATTGTTAAACACCGTGTGCATGTTACACCTTGAAAATGGAAAACTATATTTTTGAACTTCTTTGGAAATCAGAGTGAGTTGTACTAATGTTCAAGTATCTGGGTCCATGCCTCGGTTCAGTAAATGTTAGGGCAGTTGACTAGGGTGTTATCATGCGTTAGACCGCCTCTCAAAGTATTGCAAATGAACCACCTCTGAGCCAACAAGTGTATTTTTTAGTTAATGGGGTTTCTGGTAAACTAGTTGGGTACATAGGTTCACTACCGAAATTCCCGCTGAACTATGGGAGATGTCCTCATTAATGTTTGTTACAGTCGGTGATCATAACATGTCAGAATACTGGTTTGTCATGAGCTATGTAGCCCGCCATTGTTGTCAGTTATGTCATTATTGTATAATACAATATAGTATCGTAACCTAATTCTGTTAGGGCAGGCACACCCCATTTTTACGGGCATGTTCTATAATTTACAATATTGCTTTGCATATAAGATACTTCCTAATTAGGATTGCTAAGCAAATTAATTCAATAAAAGTAAAAGACAGTACATTAGTCAAGGTATCTCAAGAAGTTAATGGCTAGGTTTATGTTTTGCTGTTATAGTATGGGTGCAGATTTTATACTCTATTTCCGAAATAGCATCGCGTTCATGTTGCGGCCATGAGAAACGTGTACTTTGTCCAAACTCTGCATTATTGTGTTACAATTATGGTCTTGCTAAGTATTTATGCAATACAACTTTTAAGAAGTTTGTAGTTTTTAGAAAGTATATTTAAAGGAGTTTTGGACTAGTACTATTAGACTTCAGTAATGGATAGGCAACAACGGGCTTAATCTCAATACTTCAAAGTGCTAAGTACTCCATACGAGACATGTTGCAGACTGCGAGTACGACTTAAGCAACTCCCCTACAGAGACATCCGAAGTTGGATAATATCTATGAGAGTTGATACCCGATGATCTGATGTCTTTAGCTGACTGGGACAAAATGCCTTCCAAGCAAACGTTGCACTGGTAACACTGAGATGCATTTTTCGTCAGTCCAACGAAAGGACGTTTTACATAATCTTCAACAGTTTTATTTAACCCCACTTGGAGTATGGAAACACAGTGTTTCCACCCTCTCTCCAAAAGGATTATGACACACTGGAATTTAACCAATCGCGAGCCACAAAATCCGTTCCGGGACTCAAATTCAGGTTTTATGAAGAACTCTTTCAATCACTGAATCTTCACTCACTCGAATACAGGCGTTTATGAGATGATTTAATGACTTACAGCATCCTAAATACTTAGGTGCATCTCCTCAAACACCTACTTAAGCTTAGTCCCAACACAAACCTTAGGGATAGTACCCAGAAACTGGAGACGCAACACAGCATAACAGACTGAAGACAAACTTTCTACTCCTTAAGAGCATTCAGATGCCGGGATTTGCTGTCGGTTGAGTTAGTCCAAGCGACTTCTCAGGAGTCCTTTGAAAGGAAACGTGATATATTCCTAAGGACTAAGTACAGTATCTCGCTATGGTTTACTAATTTTTTCTCTCTTATCGTTAAATAAAGCTAGGTTCCGACCTGAAGGCACCGGTGATCCACTGTTACTATGTACTGAAGCCCGTTAAACGAAAGCTTCTTCTGTTTAGTCCAGAACCATTTGAATGAAGTGCGGTCATTGGACATTGAAATTCGGTTACGCATATGATATAAATAGAGTCAGAGTTATATTAAGGTGCGAGTTCTGAAAGGGGATTAATTTTTTGTTCCGTCAGTGTGTGGTGAAGTTTTTTGATAGTTAACTTTTTGTTAAGCTAAAACCCTGTCCTCATCTCATGAAGGAATTTATTCCAATGTGGATTCCAAGCATCTATTAGGGTTGCAAATGTAAATATCGCCGTATTATAATTGTATAAATACTGTAATATGTGATCAGTGTATGGATATACAAATCCTTTTACCATTACTATGTGCACTGAGAAAAGTTGTAGTCAGCTCATCCGAATCATTGTTTGCACTGTGTTTTAGAATTGTGATGCGCTTCGAAATGTATGAATAGGTAAATGATTGTTGAGTAAATTAATTCATTGGTAGGTTCATCTTTCAAAAATCCTTCCACACAAAGTTTCCAGGGAACTGTCGGTTATGCGCGTTTGTGTTTGTTAGTGTTCACTTCGCACCGGGTACTGCAGTTGAAGCAGTATCAAAACACCACATTTCCTCTTAAAGTTGGTTTTTTCGTGCTAAGATACTATTCGGTCTGTAAAATTTAAATGAAATTAAACCACCTTGTGGTCACTATATATTTAAATGACTTTGCTAATAAGGTTGCATTTCAGTCTATCACTACACACTTCTCAACTATCCGTTTTACGTATCTCCTAAAAATTTCCATTAACTGTAATATTACCACCAACCTAGTGAGATTATTCACGTCGTACATAGTGTTGGACACTTACGATTTAGTAGTTGGTTAAGTAATTCCCCTCAGTATATGGGGAATTCCGCACATGCTGAGTTATTCAAGAAAACAAAAAGCCTGTATGTTAACCACTGCAAATATTATGTTGGTCTCTTTTTGCTCTTTTGTTCCCTTTTATAAAAATGATTTAGGTGAAGTGTTACTGCCAACCCCCGCTTATTTAGAACGACCTGGAAAATTATTTGGCACTAACCACCATCCGGGTTTCACACTAGTGATGTACACATTACTGCGGGGTTTGTGGCAATATATATCACAAAGGGATGAGTTTTCTGTTCTCATACTAGGTTTGGATGGCGCTGGAAAAACAGTAGTTTTGGTTACATATGATTGACAAGTCTAGACTTATTTAGAACAAGCTAAAATAAATTTTGTTCCGAATTATAAATCTATTCCAATTCAGAAAATCACTACTACTGTTGGTCTAAATAGTAGGTTTCCCGTTCTTCCATAATTTTAAGTCGGATACATTGAGGTTGATGGGATCCGGCTTAAATTTTGGGATCTCGGCGGTCAAGAAGAGCTTCAATCCTTGTGGGATAAGGTTAGCCTAATATGCATTTCTCACTAGTTTTACTTAGTACTATGCTGAATCAAACGGTGTTATTTACGTCGTTGATTCTGCAGATAGCGATCGTTTTGATGAATCTAAAGATGCATTTGGTAAGTCCCTTTTGTAATTATTGGTGTTAGATAAGATGGTAAGAAACCCTGTACTGGAAGGTGTGCCGTTACTGGTTCTAGCTAACAAGCAAGATATGCAGGTAAGAAAATTAAATATGTTATTCGTCTTTTGTGATGGATTCAACTCATGTACCGATTCGTACCTCCACAACTTTGACAAAACTGATCCTTTGTAACGCCTCTGTGTCCATGTATGCATGCACGGATCTCTCCATTATACACTATAGTTTGAGTTGTTAGATATTACAGACCCTGTCGTACAAAATCTAATATAAATATACTTATTTAGTTACCCTAATATCATGTCAATAAGACTGGTGCTTAGGACAATAAGGTGGTTGATATTTTAAGCATAACGCAGTGAGGACCTGGAACGATTGTATATTAGTCCGTCACGACATCTATCAGTAGACTAAGAGAAATTAATAAAAGGATAGATGACCACCCAATCGTCTTTGACGTTTTCTTGTTCGGTTCGTTTAGGTATAATATAAATACAGGGAAATAAAAAGATTAGTCTAATTTCCTCCTACCTTGACACAATCAAACCTTTTAAGGTTTCCTTAAAAGGTGAAAAATCTCTCAATGGTGAATACACATTAGAAAACTAATGAAGCGTCATAACATTTTGAATGGTCAGGAGAATTTTTTCAAAGTAACCACCATGGCTCCTGAATCTGACGTGCGAACGTCAAAGTATCTCGAGAAAAATCCTTAAGTGTCCACCTCGTATGAACGGTTGCAGAAACGTTAGTTCGACTGTTTCATAGTGTTTTCAACTCATTCCCGATGCTGAAGCTCTTTTCAGGGCTTCCTATCACTCTTCCTTTCAGTTGTTTATTGGACTCAAGTGTTTAGTGGTAATCTGAACTTCTGTTGTACTTTTTTACAAGTCATCATCTCGAAGCCTTCTTCAAAGCTCTCTATTTTACGTCTCATCGTTCTCACAATGGTCAATGAGTATTGAAAAGCTTTCATGGTGGAGGAATCGCACTTGTACATGTTACTACTCTTTGACAATATTTTGGCGAGAACCTGCCACTTTTTGACACACATGTTTGTTCTTAAAAACGTAGGAAGTTGTACCCGAAAATAGAAATAAAATCCAGAATTGTATCAAATGTATCTAAACGAACATATAATCCAGTTGATAAGCACCTACACTATGCTCTTGTGCCTAATTCCTCTTTTTTAGAGTGCATTCCATTTGTCTGAAATAAACAAAGTATTCTACGACAGTTTACGTCTTGTTGGGCAACGTCAATGCACATTTCATGGTGTCAGCGCACTTAACGGGTAAATTAATCGTTAAAATGTTGACGATTTCTAGATATAACCATTTCAGTCGACCTAGTGTTATTTCTCGGTTTGGTTAGTGTTTTATAACATATGGGTTTGTTGTGCACTGTCAGGAGGAAACGTCTTGAGTGCATTTGAACTTTAAATTTATTTTGTTCGATAAAACGCACAACTCTTATATAGTGTTTCAATGTCGGACATGGAAAGATATACTTCAGAGACAAAGATTTTTCCATAACACTGTTAGTAACTTCTTCACTCCCAAGTGTTGAATATATTATGAGGATGACAAAGCATATCGAAATACCGATGGTTTCAAGCAAATTGAGCACTGGATTGGAAGTTTATAGTAGGAACTTTTCGTTTACTCTGAAAAAGTGGCTTATATTAAGTTGCGAAACGTCAGAAGTACAATTTACTACTCATTGGAATATCACAAGAAATATGTTCATTAGTGTATCGAAATAAATTACTCACCTCCAATTAATAAGATGGATGTAAAAGCATTGCTTTCAAAGTCAGTGACCACTTACTCCGCAAAAATTAATTAAAGATACGAAGTATACTTGTCCTTTTGTTAGTAAAGTCGGTTGATTAAAATGCAGATCTTCATCAACTGAAGTGACTTGGATATCTGCTTTGCATGCCTACCTCAAAGCACAATGGTAGTTGGGGTAGAAAGTGGAGAGGCTGAACCAAGATATGGGGTCTGTTCATGAATTTATTGACTGTTAAACTAAGTTGTGCTGATAAATTCAGACTACCTAGCTAAAGAAAGTGTGGACGGAAGTTGGACACAGACGACATGGCTCAGAATTAGATTGTTTTCCAGTGTAGACACCTATGTTTTTGTTTCTTAGTTGTCTTAAAATGTAGTTGTTTATTGTTGTTGATAATATCCAAGACTGTTAACGATTTCTAAGTAGGAACAGTTGACAGTTTTCCGGCCCCAAAACTAAAGAGTTAGGTCTCCTACTGTCATGTCCTCCTTAATCTCATCAGTGAGCAGAATGATAAGCATCTTTTGTTAAGACATAATTTGGTGTAATTTATCTCGATATTTTAGTGTATACAGTAACACACCGTAAAAAGTACTATTGAAGACCATGTTCTCTTTTAAGAATCGATGGAACGACCTTGTAATAACAGAGCTAGAGATCAATAATTTTAGCCTTAGAAACCAGGAAAAGTATATAGCAATATAATAGGTTAAAGATAAAATGACAGATAATAGAGTACCCCAGTATTCTATGCTTGAAACTTTCCAGATATCTACACCAAACGCTACTTTACTTTAACTAACCAAAGAAAGTAGTTGGATCGATGAACGCCAGTCTATTAGCGTGATCCTGTTGTGTCATCGAGAGATACATTTACACCTAGTTGTCCAGAATATTAAAAGCAATCATCATTTCTTGCTACGGAGTTTTCACCAATCGACTAATTAGTTGTATAACATCTTGCTTCTAACATATTAACGCTGTCTCTACATTCTGATGTTTACACTTTGATAGGGAGGGAATAAACAGCAGTATCAAGTGGATTGCTGATAAGGTTAAAGGTAACGCTAAACAAAGGCCACCAAAACAACTTGAAATCCCGTAACGTGTCTTCGTAAAACCATTTGTCTGTTCAGAAAGTACTAAAAGGATTTTGCGGTACTACACAATTCTATTTAACATCTTTTGTCAAGTTTAATAGTAAATGCATGTAAATCTGTATCATAAAAAATATAACGAAAATGTATATTAACTTGGATTTTCTTTCATTGTACAACAAGATGCTTTCATTAGTTGTAATCTTTCCTTCGATTTATTGTCGAGTGATAAGGTTCTAAAAGACAACAATAGATATTAATATTGATAATAATTGAATTCAACTATAAGTAACAAATAGTACCAATCGTACACATAGTTCTCTTAACTATCTTGAGTAGAGCAACGACTAAGTTTCGAGGACTTAATTCACGTTAGACTGTTCAAATGTTTGTCGTTTCTCTTTTTAACGTAGTAACAACCAGTTGTATCATCAATAAAAAAAGTGGTACCAGTTGTGACCGTAAAACATGAACTTCAACCCAAGTCCAAAATCAACTGGGTTGCTTCTCTGAGGTTATTTCAACTTTGGCAACTTTAGCTATGTATCACATACAATTGTTGCACAGTATTCCAACCCTCACACAAATACAATATATTTAGTGCATCTTTGTGTTACGTATGCACAAAGTGAACGATCCAACGTTTTTTGAGAAGAGCAATGACAAATGTCAGTGTGCAGAATCCATTTTTACAAGCTGACTCTGGTAATCTAGATACATTTCAATTTTGCTAATTATTCTGATAGGAATATGGTTTTCTCGTTGTATATATACAGCTTACAAGCTGTAGTAAGACAAAGAGTGTATGGACCTGCGGCATTACAAACGATTTTGAGACATGTCATTCGAAGTCTCTAATCACGGGTTGCGATAATCACACGGAGCCCATCCAGGTAGTTTATACTTGTTATCATGACTCAGTCAAATCTTCGATGGCTTCATGGACGGGTGCCGATTGGCCATCCTTACCTAATACTTTACTCCTAACCCCAAACATTGCTTACTCGGTAATACCAAGATACATGAGCAATCAGTCCAAGACACCTATGATCGAATACTAGTGACCTACGAACATCTTTTATTCTTAATGGCTTTCACATTGTTGAAGTAAAACGAAACGAACTGCTGCGCAGTTAACTCGTTGTTTGGTTTGCAAGAAGATATTCCCCCCTACGCCACAAGCGATGGGATTAGTCGACACACTTGACTACTACACTCCCTATCACTGATTCAGGTGCTGACGCGAACCGATGTGCGTTATCCCTTAACGAATATCTATGACAAAGCCAAATGAACATGGAAAAATCGGGCAACCCTGACAAACACCACTTGAAGATATAAATTCCAATAACAGGTCGCTTTATTAATGTATGGTTCAGCAATGGATAAGTTTGCTATTTTATATAAATCGATCAGCAAAGTAGTCTGTTTATTTTTATGCATAAAGAGGGAGCGATTACATAATAAAATAGGGAGACTTACGCAAAACAACCATCATATTGACTTAGACAGTTTGTTAGAGCCCAACAAAACGTTGCATAAACTCGCCATGGAAGACTGGCATCGGATGCGAAACGATAATACGTTAATTTACATAAATCATTTGAAAGGAATGAATCGCCAGAAAGTTGCTTCGAACGTTTAAATGGAGTTTGAAGATTTCCAGCGGATAATAGTGTACTCATGTATAAGCTGTCAGGAACTGGACAGTTTACTGACTGTTTGTACTGAGTAGAGAGCAAACCGACGAACCTCAAGTGTTTTTCAACTGCCTTAAAAAAACGGAACAATGCAGTATGAAGAAGTGGTTAAGATGATTATCAAGTAACAAATGCATTTAAGTAATTCACGTAAGTGTTTTTAGCGAGTATTAAAACGCCTAGAATTAATTCTCATGGGTACCGTTTCACAGGATATCAGCTTGAACTCTTCATAAAGCGACGTTTGGTTACCAAGTTAGTATTATTTCTCATCACGTGATACACTTGGTTCACATAACAGTAATTACTTATTGAACTGGATTACCATTGTTTAGCAATAAGATTAGCATCAATTTGCTTTTTTTTTGATTAAAGAAATTTTGTATGACAAAAGCTTTTCCTTGATAATAGCTGTGAGATAGGTGTTATTCCTATAGCACTAAATGTCTATACATTTTGTTAACTAAGTGTATAATCGACAAAAGTTATCCATTAGGGGGTGGGAAGGAACGATCACTTTTGATGTTGGACCAAAGTTTCTTTCTGCGCTCGGAATTTTAACGTTCTTGCTAGGAAACCGATTTAAGCAAATTCAGATAGACAATAGGTCGAAATATTTTTTTAGTGAAGCTTGAATTCATCTGCCGGGCAAAAAGTTAAAGCTATTCTAATCTAAGTTACTGAAACAATTTGGAATATTATTTTTAGATCTCATGTCTTCAATAAGTACTTTGCATCCGATTTCGACCAGTGTTAGTCTGCACTTTGACAAATGTTCTTTTCAAATTTGTTTTTTAAGAAGACAATCGGTTCGATTTATGCAACTGAATTTAGGAAGTGGTTGGAATTATCAAAGGCCATAAACTTACCTCTAATCCATCCGCAAAAAGCAGTAAGATCTGCGCAAGAGACTGTTGAACCGATCCAAATCGGTCTTCGTTGTAAGCAGCCAGTGTCAAACAAGCTAAGATTTCTGTTGCCCAGATAATAACTTGACCACTTGTTCGTGCTAGCGGTTTATCGATGTCCAAGTCGCCTGCATGTTCAATATCGGTAGCAGTTGAGAAAAGGTGTGCTGTCGAAGCATAGGGTATTTCTGAAGATAGAATACTGAATAGTTGTGTTTGAGACAATCGTGTGTATACCTTGAAAAGAATGAAAATAAGATAGATCTTAGATAAAATACAATACGATATGTATATGTAAAATAAGGCGACGCAATGGAATGAACAAGCTAGTAGGCACTGTCTTTATTAGATTAGAGGGGGCTTCTATTGCATCCAACTGAAATCCCTACGGTTACTACTCATGATCTAGCTAAATTCATAGAAAACTATGAAACCAGTTGAAATCTGAGGAAAAGAAGTGAATTTTCTTGATACTAACTTACAAAATATTTTAGGAACTATGAAAATGTTTGACCACAAAGGTATAAGAATTTTAAAACTACAAAAGATCTATAACCGTAATCGCTTGATATATTTAATCCGTAAACAAAACAGTGTAATGTTGGCACCAATAATTAAGATTTGACAAAATAAAAAGTTTTAAACCTGTGTTTTGATCATCGCTTTAATTAAGTATTTTACTTCATATCTAACCAGCTGTAGTGCACACCAGTTGTTAGCCATCTCGATATATATTCCATTTTTTATTTCCGAACAAGTCTGGTTTTGTCTCATTGTTAATAAAAACCCAGTGTATCCAATATTTTTGTTAAATGAAATTTTTTTACCAGCGTACCTTAGAAAGCAGAGTGCGACCAGCATTTATTAAATTTCGAGCAATTATGGACCCGGAAGATTGCATATCAGACATATTTCCGTTAGTAGCAGACAATTGTTTTACTTTAACGCTGTTGCGTTGACGCAGATTTGATTCCAATGATGAGGGTAAATACTGTCTATATTTAAAGTCAATATTTTTAGGCCAAAGAGCTGAAAATAAGCGAAAAAATCTGAATTACGGGGCATTGGCGTATAGATGTTACAAATTTGGGATCATGAGAATTGACAAGCACAAATGGTTTCAGTATACACTAGAAATACTTATCGAAAAATGAGAAGAGTAAATGGGACTGTGGCGTTCTACATACAACTCGTCTGGTATCTGAAAATATTCGACCTGGACAGACAGTGAAAATGGAGAACTTAAGTGATGCGAATCGATATCATTTGTATGACTTAGTAGGGTCCCAGTGAACAGGGTCAAACGATAGAATAGTTGGTCAACAAGGAGAGTCCTGTTACACAAGATTACAGAATAATTAACAAAAAATAAGCATGACTAAATACTACTCAAAATAAAAATAAGCATAGATCATTTACTGCTTCGATCTGGGCACCCTGGAAGTATCACAGCCTACACACAAATCAAATTTTGTGCAACGCATATATATTTGGTGCCCCCTTGTACCAATATTTATGTGTTCAAATAAAATAAATAAAAAATTTACTAGTTTACGGAATTAGGACTTTAATGTTAGGATTATTTCTTGTCACACAACATACTTTTACATTCCATCGAAAAGATCATCCTAGTTTTTTGATCAACTAATGAGGGATCTGTTTTAGAGATCCTTTAAGTGACTTGAATACAGTTGTCTTATGAACAGTCCGAATCTATAGATTAAATGTGACGGTTGAACCTACGGACTAGTTAATAATTTTGAAATATTATCAGCTCTGATAGGTCCGCAAAGGAGCGAAATCGCTATAAAATTTGTAGTTTTACATTTGGCAACTAACTTGACTGATGGCACAAAAATATCCAAACGCATATACGAGGTTGACCACTTTATCTGATTTACATTACATCTAAGGGAAGAGGATACAGCTGATTTGTATACAATAACTAATGAACGAATAGTGGAGACACTGTACAATACATATCTAGATAAACATGGGTGGATAAGGAAATTAAGAGATAGTAGGGAGACGTCTTAGAAAATGAATGAAATGTTTTAAATGAAATCATTTGACAGCAGTGATGGCGGGGGTGTTGTTTACAAAAAAGAGAAGACGAAAAGCGAATGTTCGGGGTTTTTATTTATTTATTTGAACACATAAATATTGGTACAGGGGGGCACCAAATATATATGCGCCACACAAAACAATGATAATTTGAAGAGAAGGAGAAAAGAGAAAAAAAAGTAATGGACGTGGGGAATTATAAAAAAAAAGGAAGAGAGAGAGAACAATGGTGGGGGAAACGGAAAGGTACAATCAGAAGAGATCTTTCAGTTAAGGAAGATACAACCACTTTTTATGAAGAAAGTAAAAGAAGGTTACAGCACGATCGCCACTGGCTTCTATTCTGAGCCATATCTGATAACGTCTCTAGCCACTGCGTTACACCGTCTCTCGGACCCCAACCAGGGAGTCGTGAATGACCAACAGAAGCTAGCCCTTTGCAGCTTTCTTTCATACCACGACACCATGTCATATACTGACCACCTCTCCGCTTTTTCCAACCAGTCCCAGAGTCGGCAAATAATGCACGACGTGGAATTCTCTGGGACGACATTCGTAAAACATGTCCAAGCCACCGAAGTCGGTGTTTCAAGATGGTGACACCAATTTTATTATCGTCTCTGTGCCCGAACACACGATGCCGAACCTCTGCATTACTAACATGGTGTTGCCACTGAATATCAGCAGTCCTTCGGAGACAACGATGATCGAACACATAGAGTCGTCTAACATCCCCAACTCGGAGAGGCCAGGTTTCACAAGCATAGAGCAAAACTGATCTCACCGACGCTTTGTAGATCCGACCTTTTACAGACAGACTAGCATCACGAAGGCGCCAAAGATGGCCCAGATTGGCATAAGCCGCTCTGGCTTTCACTATACGTGCATTGATCTCATCACTCATACCACCACCAGCACTTATGCAGCTACCTAGATACACGAACTTCTCGACTACTTCTATCTACTCACCATCCAGAGTGAGTACAGGATTAGAATCCTGCCAGTCTTGTAGAAGTACTTTGCACTTCGAAGGTGCAAAGCATATACCATACCTACGGACACTGATTGCCAACTGATTAAGTGCGGATTGCATGGCTTGGGCATTCTCGCACAGTAAGACAATATCATCCGCATACTCAAGGTCGAGAAGTCTTTCTCCAGGCAACAGATCCACACCACCATTACTTACATCCGTCAGAGCTGTTTCCAGAATGTCATCGATGGCAAAGTTGAAGAGGAATGGTGAGATTGGGCAACCCTGCCTAACTCCACTGCTCGAGTGAAACAATTGAGAAAGGTGGTTGTATGCCCTCACTCTGCCTGAGGTGTTTGTGTATAATGCTTTCAGGATGTTAATAAACTTCTCAGGCACACCCTTCTTCAATAGACAATCCCAGAGAACAGTTCTGTCCAACGAATCGAAGGCGGCCCTGATATCAAGAAACACTACGATTGTTGGCTTTTGATAAGTATGGCGGTGTTCTAACACTTGGCGGAGGGTGAAGATATGATCAATACATCCTCGACCAGAACGAAACCCAGCCTGCTCCTCGCGAGTCAATCCTTCTCGGGTTCTGAACAACCTACGAAGTATGACGGAAACCAATAGCTTGGACGCAATCGGAAGTAGACTTATCCCCCGATAGTTGTTACAGGAACAACGTGAACCCTTTTTAAAGATAGGGACAACTATCGACTCAGTCCATGACGTTGGTACACTCTCTAGTTCACAGATCTTTGTAAACAACGTCGTCAGTCCCTTAGTCAGAAAGTCACCACCATCTTTAAAAAGAGCCGGAGGTAAGTCATCTGGGCCCGGTGATTTGTAACGTTTCAAGAGTTGGAGTTCCTTGCGGACTTCCGCCTCATTTGATGGATCAGTCGTCACCGGCCATGGAGGGCAGGACAGTCTGACCGATGTTGCCGGAGCAGCAGGCCAGTTGAACTGCCCTTCAAAGAATTCTGCCCATCGTCCAAGACGTCGATGGATGTTAGTGATTGGCGTTCCGTCATCCTCGCAGATTGTTTCGCTCACACCAGACTTCTTGCTGCCATTGGCTCGGATGAGTTGGAAGAGCTTCCGGTAATTACCAGATGCAGCTGCTGCTTCCAACTCACTGGCACGCTCAGACCACCAGGCTTCTCGGTCCTTACGCAAGCTTTACCCGATTTCATTACGTAACATCCTTCGTCTGTGGTCAAACTCACGGTCACCCGGAGTAGACCGACGGGCTTCAATCAGTTGTAAGGAACCAGAAGAAACCCAGTGCTTGTAAGCGGGACGTTTCGCGAACCCACAACAGACTTGACCCGCCATTTTCATGGCGTCATGCAATAGCAACCAATGCTCATCTATACTTTTCGGTGGAATGGTAGCTAGCCTAGAAGCTAGCTCGGTTCGGTACTTACTAGCAACAGAAGTTGCAGCCAGCTTGCTAACATCAATCCTTTGGTGGCGGTCACTTCGTTGTCCACTGAAAAGTAAGGTAAGATTGGCGCAGACCAGAGCATGATCAGAGTCCAGGTAGATACTCGAAAAGGAGCGAAAGTCTTATACACAACCACGCCAGCGGTAGCTGATCGCGATGTGATCAATCTGAGTCCAGGCTTGATATGCATAGGGGGGACGCCAGGTGGCACATCGGCGATGACTGTGCCGAAAGTTAGTGCTAGCCAGAAACAGGTTGTGGTCTGTGCATAGTTGCAGTAGACGTTCCCCGTTATCTGTCCTGCGACCAACGAGTCCCCATCGGCCACCTAAACGACTCTCTTCTGTGCCTAGACGCCCGACCTGAGCATTCAAGTCTCCAGCTAGTACTACAATATCTGTCGAACGCACTTTCTGGAGAAGAACAGTTAGCTGATGGTAGAACTCGTCCTTGATTGCATCCGGGCTGCAATCTGTCGGGGCATAGGCGGAGATGACGAAAAGACATCGTTTCTCACGCCGATTTCTTCTCACTTTGATGGAACTTTCTAATCTAACAGCACATAACCGACTGTTAATGGGGATCCAGTCGACTAGTGCTGCCTCAGCTCTAGCGCTTAGTGCGACACCAACGCCAGCAAGACCAGACGAAGATGCCACAGAGTCCCCGGATAAACGCACATAAAACAAGCTTTTTGAAGTGACAGATGGAGAGCGAACTTGTAGTACTTCACCAGAGTCCTGAATACGGGTCTCGGATAGACAACACACATCAATATTAAGACTTTCCAAAGACATAGCCAGCCCTATGTGTTGTCCGACCTGCATAAGTGTGCGAACGTTGAAGGCAGCCAGTTTGAATGGTGCACGTGGTTTCAGAAAAACTGCTTCAGTACTCTTATTCGGTAGTAACATACAATTTTCAACCAGGCAGTGACTCGAGAACGTTTATATAAAGCTGAATTTTCACCATAGGCGAGCTGCTGTCTGAGTCGAAGCGGATACAAAAAGTAGAAATAGGAGATAGTGAATAAATGACGTAGTAAATAATAATAATAATAATAATAATAATAATAATAATACCAGTCATTTCAATGTTAGTCGGAGAGAAACGAATACTTTCTATAAGCATATAGTTCATCATAGTTTTAGTGAGTGGGCAGGGATACTGCCCGGGTGCCCAGACCGAAGCAGGTGGTTTTCTTAGGGGGCCACACCCCGAGCCTTCGACCTAAAGGTCTAGTCCACAAGGCAGTGGAGCATCGTGAGGAGATGCAGTCCCATGGAAGCCGGTGACCAAAAGTTGGTTCATACGCCATTTGTTCCCGCAGGATACTGGAGCCCATGTGCACCATAGAATTGGGATCCGGTTATAGCGCCGGACGTTCGCTTTTCGTCCTCTCATTTTCGTAAACAACAACCCCGCCACGAGAAGGCAGTGAGTAGGACTTCCCTGGCAGAGGCTGTATACGCGTGGCCGTGTGAGAGTATTTCGAGAGGGAGGGCGAACCCTCCCCGCTCTCGGCCATACCAGGGCATTTGGGGGCGTTCGGGGTTTTAACCGGTTCCAAACCAATAGTGCACATGAGTTTCAGTACCCTGAGGGAACAAGTGGCGTATGAACTAATTGTTGGTCACCAGCTACCATGGGACTGCATCTCCTTATGATGCTCCACTACCTTGTGGGTCAGACCTTTAGGTCAAAGGCTTGGGATGTGGTCCCTAAGAAAACCACCTGCTTTGGTCTGGGCACCCGGGCAGTGTCACAGCCCACACACGAATAAAATTTTGTGTGGCGCATATATATTTGGTGCCCTCTTGTACCAATATTTATGTGTTCGAATAAATAAAAATAATAAAACGTTTACAAACAATCTGACTTACGTGTACTTAGCAGGTTTGTTCCACGAGTATTTGATTCACGAGCACTTGACACAAACTGCTCAATTAACTGGAGACATAAATTACTTATTTGCCTCCATAATACAGGCCTACCACCTTTTAAAGAAAAATACATAGTCATTGTACGCAGTTTTTTTCGAAATGATACTTTCTGTATTAGAACAAATGATTGCAACTGATTGACCTAGCTCCATATATTGGTGTCAAAACACCAACAAACATTTGAGCATATTCTGAACCAGTCATATTGTCCACTCTTAACTATTGTGTTAGACATAGATCAGATAAGGCTGCAGCATGATTAACTTTTGACAGACTTTAAGGGTTGAAGAGTACCCAAACAGCATTTTTTATTAGCACATCTCTCAAGTATGTAATCTAGATAGTACAACTTAAGATACTCACGTCTGAATACGTCCGGGTCGAAAGACTATCAATTCAAAGATCTTAAACCTTTCGCAACAAAATAACCCCGTACACGAACTACTTAATGAGTCTTATACAGACGTTTATAGAATAGGACTTTTCTACCAACAATATGAATTGTCGATTGTACAACTTGGTTAACAGAATTTGTAATAGATGTGCATTTTTTTAATTGTCGTGCGACGTCTAAAGGTATGTTTATGATAAAGTTCGATACATATCTAACTAGGAAGCTCGGTACACAAAGCGGTATTTATCATAACATTCGATCTAGAAGGTAATTGAATATACACCATTTACGAATGAAACGTCTTTGTTTGATAATCTTCCTCGCAATAGGACAGGTCAAATTATCTTTCACGTCAGAGACTACAGTTTCAGTATGATGCTCCTAAACGTCATAGAATCTGAAGAGTAAACATGTAGTCGATATTATCACAGTTTGGTCATCCATATCCGGCTTTCCTAGTTATTGACTTCAAGGTTACAAGCTCTGATTCTATTTATTTGCATTCACTTAATCTTTTCGATTGCGGCGATTTTTCCTTAAAATCCATGTTGTGAATTGTGACCAATCAAAAATTTGAGCCTTGAGAAATATGTTGTTCATTTTTATATAAACATGAGCATACGCTATGTAATTGTGCTTAATGACTCGCCAAAAGTCTAGCAACTTCAAAAGAACACTAGTTCAGAACACCAAATTTAGCTAACAATAAACGTACCCAAGTGACTGAGAGAAAATATGGAAGACCTCACATTTTGATTGGTAGCCACCAAATCAGCCAATCTTTCCAAAGCCAAATGCTACAAGATGATCATTAAAATGCTAACTTACTTGTTCTAAAGGATTAGCACAACCACTTAGAACTCCCTGGACTGAATTGGTAGGGTCAAGGTCAGAGGATAACGGGATTTCGATAGGCTATATCCGCTAAGTTAAAAGAATCAGAGAAATTACTTTCTGAAACTGCGACTTTAGGACATCAATCGCACAACTCCATGAAAACTGGAGGTGAAAAGTTGTGATCAGAATCAAAAGAATTAACCGAATATCCAAAATAAGCCAAATAAAGGAGAGCCTTAAGTGTGAATTATTCTTGTAACTGAAATTACCATTGGGGATGCCAAAATGGATTAGGGCATAGTGCATAGAGCGGCAAGAAATATAATACTCTCCCGACGGTTGTGAGAAGACGAGTAAACATATGCTCCTTTGTTATCACGAATATGTTGCCCTACAATGTGAGGTATTGTGTGAGACCTTACAATTGGATATGAGTAGTTAAGTGTCAGTTTATTCATGACGAGCACTGTAATACAAAACAGTAAACCCATAAATGCTCCACAAGTTGTAAGTATAAGCGCTCTTTGGTTCACGGAAGGACTAAACAAAATATGTTAGTTGAACGACATTACAAATGATTGTATTCAAAAAACGACCCGTATTTCTCGGTTGCTAAGAGTTTGGCTACTACCAGACTATTTATTGCACCTAGTATCATGCTAGAAAAAAGGATTTTACAATCGCGCCAGCTGAAGAAAGCCCCACATATCTGATACGTATTACGGAAAACACGGTCGGTTACTAAGATATTATTAAATTTTCATATTTTACCTGACAGTCTAGCCCGAAACATGAGCGTTGTCAAACTAATAACTATAACATTGAATAGTAACAAGAAGATTTTCGAGGTGACGAAAAGGTTAAGAAACGTATCTATAATGTTAGTAGAGTTATTACAGTACCTGTTATCCAAAACCAAGGAGCACAAAGGCCTATGTGTTGTGAAAACACCATAAGCACTAACAGCAAAGTGCTAATTCCACACGACAGAAAACATGAGTAAACAGACCTGAACCGTAGTTCCTGGATTCTTAAGATAAAAGAAGCTAAAACTAACAAGTATCAGTGACATGTCTCCGCTGTGGAAAGTCTAAGTGAAATGTTCTTTACTGCTTACGATAATCAGAAGGTTGTACAAGATGATTTGTTAGTCAGAATGAACAAAGAAATTACAGACACGCCAGAAAGCAAGCCACTTTCAAACTTGACCGCGCTTTCTTTCCCACAACCTTTTTAGGTTGGATCAACGGAGGGTACATTGTACCTGAAGTTTTCAAGGTCGGTCGTATGCATGCAAGTTAGCATGGTTTCCGTATACTTACATAGTCTGTTGCCGCTTGAAAGCCACCAAATTCGTTTCCTACATTATAAATTATGTTTTTTTGTTCTTTTTAATAAAACCATGGCTTCGTTGTTGCTGAGTAGCATTTTCTAAACACCGTAGGTTGAATAGTTTATTCATATAGTTTGGTACAGCAGGTTGGGAAAAAATATAATTATAAGAAACCGCAAACTATTTCAGAGATTGATTATCAGTGTAACTCATCATTTTACTCAGAGTTATAGAGAAAATACCTGACAGTCAGTAAATTCGGAACTGGTTTCATTTGTTGAAGCACTGGACTGCCGTTTCGTCCTAGTATGAGACTCCTCAGCAGTGCGCATCCACGATCCCGCCCCCCGCTGGATTCGAACCCAGAACCTATCAGTCTCGCGACAGACGCTTAACCAACTAGACCATTATCTCAAACACTTCCTTATTGACCGTAGTGAGTGAAGATTTTCCATTATATTCAATCGTTTGTTTTGTACCAATGCTGTGCCGTCCCTCGTGCTTCTTTCGAGGGGATTACGCCGATTTGCCTAAATAATGCTATAACAGTAAATAAAATTCTAAAATAAATGGTTATGTGAGCCTTCTATACCGAAGCTCACCCCATTAGTTTTACTGGAGACATTATAGCTGAAGGCGCTCAGTAACACACCCACACCAGATCAGTAATGAAAACACCGTGCTACGTATAATTTTCGACCTCTAGCCAGCTTAGGCCAAAAATATTTCGAAATACCGAAAGCCATTCAAACATATTTTCGAACTTACTGAACACTGACTTCTGATTTAACGGAGTTGGTATCATTTGACTATGGAAATATCATGGATAAAATTGTCGTCAACTCTTGAATATCCGTGGCTTCTTCAGTAGTGAGCATAACGTGATTTGGACACCACACGACAATCTTTGAGTCTGTTCCTTACCGTAACATTAAACATAATCTTTTATTTCTAAAAACAGTGACTTCATTTTTTATTCAAAGAATTACTCTTTTAAACAGTTCTGTACTAAACAGAAGAAGCTTTCGTTTAACGGGCTTCAGTACATAGTAACAGTGGATCACCGGTGCCTTCAGGTCGGAACCTAGCTTTATTTAACGATAAGAGAGAAAAAATTAGTAAACCATAGCGAGATACTGTACTTAGTCCTTAGGAATATATCACGTTTCCTTTCAAAGGACTCCTGAGAAGTCGCTTGGACTAACTCAACCGACAGCAAATCCCGGCATCTGAATGCTCTTAAGGAGTAGAAAGTTTGTCTTCAGTCTGTTATGCTGTGTTGCGTCTCCAGTTTCTGGGTACTATCCCTAAGGTTTGTGTTGGGACTAAGCTTAAGTAGGTGTTTGAGGAGATGCACCTAAGTATTTAGGATGCTGTAAGTCATTAAATCATCTCATAAACGCCTGTATTCGAGTGAGTGAAGATTCAGTGATTGAAAGAGTTCTTCATAAAACCTGAATTTGAGTCCCGGAACGGATTTTGTGGCTCGCGATTGGTTAAATTCCAGTGTGTCATAATCCTTTTGGAGAGAGGGTGGAAACACTGTGTTTCCATACTCCAAGTGGGGTTAAATAAAACTGTTGAAGATTATGTAAAACGTCCTTTCGTTGGACTGACGAAAAATGCATCTCAGTGTTACCAGTGCAATGTTTGCTTGGAAGGCATTTTGTCCCAGTCAGCTAAAGACATCAGATCATCGGGTATCAACTCTCATAGATATTATCCAACTTCGGATGTCTCTGTAGGGGAGTTGCTTAAGTCGTACTCGCAGTCTGCAACATGTCTCGTATAGAGTACTTAGCACTTTGAAGTATTGAGATTAAGCCCGTTGTTGCCTATCCATTACTGAAGTCTAATAGTACTAGTCCAAAACTCCTTTAAATATACTTTCTAAAAACTACAAACTTCTTAAAAGTTGTATTGCATAAATACTTAGCAAGACCATAATTGTAACACAATAATGCAGAGTTTGGACAAAGTACACGTTTCTCATGGCCGCAACATGAACGCGATGCTATTTCGGAAATAGAGTATAAAATCTGCACCCATACTATAACAGCAAAACATAAACCTAGCCATTAACTTCTTGAGATACCTTGACTAATGTACTGTCTTTTACTTTTATTGAATTAATTTGCTTAGCAATCCTAATTAGGAAGTATCTTATATGCAAAGCAATATTGTAAATTATAGAACATGCCCGTAAAAATGGGGTGTGCCTGCCCTAACAGAATTAGGTTACGATACTATATTGTATTATACAATAATGACATAACTGACAACAATGGCGGGCTACATAGCTCATGACAAACCAGTATTCTGACATGTTATGATCACCGACTGTAACAAACATTAATGAGGACATCTCCCATAGTTCAGCGGGAATTTCGGTAGTGAACCTATGTACCCAACTAGTTTACCAGAAACCCCATTAACTAAAAAATACACTTGTTGGCTCAGAGGTGGTTCATTTGCAATACTTTGAGAGGCGGTCTAACGCATGATAACACCCTAGTCAACTGCCCTAACATTTACTGAACCGAGGCATGGACCCAGATACTTGAACATTAGTACAACTCACTCTGATTTCCAAAGAAGTTCAAAAATATAGTTTTCCATTTTCAAGGTGTAACATGCACACGGTGTTTAACAATAGTATTATCTAAAACCTCAGGTACTGTCATCCCCAAAACAAGTCAAATCACAAATCCATAGTGAAGGGGATTAGAGAAATATATCTTAAAGTAAATTTTAGCATATTTAGTGGTAAGCAGATGATGAGAAATCATATCATTCTTCATCAATGTATGTTCTGGCTTTATTTAAATTCATAAAGAAAACTACTTGCATAAAATTCTCATGAAGAGCCGGTCTATCCTCTTATTCGCAAACTTCCCTCCTGAGTTCCCCATCATCAACGAGAAGTTGTAAATCTGACGATTCCCAATGTGATAGATCGTTCATATAGATTGCAAACCCTGCGAGACTCCACCAGCACTTTCTATAGCCTTGGAAAAAATGAAGCTAACCCTGAACTTAAAACGCCGATTATTTAGATATGCAGTAAGCCGACCAATTAATGGTGATTTGATAACCTACTGTTTGAGCTTATCAATAAGACGTATATGATTGGCCATATCAAACGCTTCTGAGAAATCAAGGTGTATGACTCCAACGTCCCCCTTAAGATCAAGAATGGTTGTCCATCTGTTCATCGCGGTCAGGGTGCGGGTTACTCAATAGTGACCTTTTCTGAAGCTGCGCTGTCGGGGCGAAAGGAAGTTTATGGATAGTAAGTAATCACGTGGGCTATCGCATATCACGAACCCCATAATTTTTGAGGGCATTGAGAGAGGTACTACTGGACCGTAGCTTGAAAGCCAGCTGTGTCGATCTCCTTTGAGAATTGGTGTGGTGCGAGCTAGTTTCTAATTTTCCAGCAACGTTTATCTAATTAGCAAATGTGGGAACATCATGCTAAGCATTGTTGTCAAGATTGAAGCTGCTTCTGTTAGTCATATATTCTATCATGTTGATGATTGCTTGATCGCAGGTCCGGACAGCAAAATCTCATCTCCAGCATCTGGACCCTGTTTACGAATGACTCAACAATCATGGCATTACTGAAAACACCAGGAAACGTCAGGTCAGAACCATCTTCTCGGACTTTCTCATGAACACTGTTAACACTCAGGATATTCGCCCTCTGCAAAATAATGAGGCGGCCTTCCTGGATTAACCAGAACTGACCACAGTCTAGCAAGTGCACATATAGACCAACTTCTTGGAAACGCGAAAATCATCGAATTGGAGGACAACGTTAAGCAGCTTACATCAAGATATTGGAGCATCAATTAGTATCACCATAGATGCATCCGACTCAGAAATAGGATTCTTACGACGGTGAGTGTCTAGCAATTTCCGACCAAGACACTGAATCTAGGTGTACCAAGTTCGGCAGTATATTGTGCTGTACGACAAACTCAACGCTCTGTGGGAGTCGGAGAATTTACCCTTCCCATCGATCGTGAACTTTACGCCATATCCCTAAGCCCGTCCTCAAACGAGTAGTCCTTTCCAGGGTCTTGACAAGTAGATTACATCTCTCCAATTACTTCAAATGTACGTAACTCTAAGTTCTTTGTTCGCATTATTAACTGCATTGTCATATTGTTGGTACGTCATCGACGTTTCACATATCTTGACATTTGAGTATAAACTAAAAAGTATTTATTTATTTTTTTAAACAAAGCGAATAATAGTTCAACTTCTGCGTAACCTGTTACAGTAACAAAGCAATGAAAAACATTGTATAGATAAATAATTTTTAATTTTATTAACTGTAATAAACATTTCAATGTCTTTAATAAAATTGATAAATCGATTCTTTGGCAAGGTGTACAGTAAGAAATGTACGTATGTATTCTCGCTAGGTTTTCCGTGGTGTCTAGAGATTTTTGCAGAGGTTTCAGGATCTTGTGCATCCAAACAGTGTTGGACGTAACATGGGAGAGCTTGCATCCATCCTTGCTTTAGGACTGCTTCACCCACTGTGTTACCACCCACTAAGAGTTGGAGGTAACGTAAAACCTGTGACGGCGACCTATCACCTAATGTTTCTCCTTGGAAAAGTCTTTGGATACTTTGACTGTCTGATAACGATAGACGTTTCACGATCTCTCGTCTTAATATGGCGCATGGTTGTGGTGATGGCGGGCTTAAAATCAAGTCACGGATTTCTTTGGCGACTGAAGAAGGAAGGATAGAACACAAGCCTCTATAGGGAATTCCTTTAGATTTGATATTGTGTCTCGTGAAATAATGCTCTAGTTGAGTAAACCACAACTCAGGATCACTACGATCAAATTCTAGA